GTTCAGTATCTTGCTCAAGGACACTTGCAGCATGCAAGACATGCAGTGAAAGGAGCCAGGGATTGAACTACCAACCTTCCGATTAGTGGACGAGCCGCTCTAAACCCTAAATATATATATTTATGTTAAAATGACTTTTATTAGCCTGTTATTTAATGGTTGAAATTCTCTGTTAATCTAACCTCCAGTATTGAAAGATAAAAACTTGATCACAAAAAAGAATCTAACTAGGAAGATTTTAAATCTACAACAGGCATTGGAGCCATTAGTGAGGCAAGTATGGAAAAAGTATTATTCCACAACCAAAACACTGCCCTCTTCTGCCAAACCTTCCGCAGGAACCACTGTTTAACATGCATGTGAACTTTATTAGCTTGCACTTAGCCAATTAATTAACAAGAACAGCAAACCCACACAAAGATTTCACCTTGGCTCCTGTACTGCATGGTAAAGTCAAACTTGTTTTGTATTCCCCAGAATCCCCAAGGCCAAGGTGGAGCTGTGCGAAATCTGAAGCGCAGATCGATGTGCTGAACAGCTGGCTCTCTGAGGAACCCATCAGCACAAACAGAACTGCTGGCTACAACCTGGCACTGCTCTGCACTGCAGCTTTGATCAGTGAGTGCTCCCTCTACTGTAACTGCACTACAGCACGCACACATGAATTAAACATAATGTCTAATCATTGACCGACTTAAACACCAACGAGATCAATATGGTTCTTTTTTATTATTTATTCTCTGCGAGTAAAAATATCTTTTCAAAGTACATTTGTACAATGCTGAGTTGGCATACGGCAGGTGTCTTCTCTTTGTCGTTTTACATTCTGCACACCCGTTACTGCAAACAGAAATCCACCCGATTGGTTTCCAGGACCTTGAACAGCTCAGTTTAGAATTACTGACATCAAAATCTCTAAATTAGTTAGAAAATCATCAGTTCTTGAAAATGCTCCACTGATGTAATGGACACAATGACATCATCCACCATCAGCACAAAATGACACTACATTATAACTGTCACAAGAGCAATTTCTTACAGAGAAGCCTTAGATTTTAACTTTATTTTAATAATTGCTGAATAAAGAATTGGGATCTCAGGATATGCTCAACGGTTTGCATCATCATTAATGAACAGTAAATAGCAGACATAAGGCAGTGATTACCTAGCGTCTGAATCCTAAATGTTTTGATCTAATATTTGCAGATGGTTTGGGTTACGCTGACATCATGAAATAATTATTTTGTAATGGTTGAGATTATTAAAATGTGTTTGTGATCATGAGAAAATAAAACATAAAAATAATTACTGCCAGGTATGAAAGCAGAGAGCGGTCATGGTTGCAATTATTTTGCAGTCCTGTTATCTTGAGTTTATTAGTTAATTTTCTCAGGATAACAATGGTAATATAACCATAATAACCACTTCTTTGTTTTTTCCCTTTTAATTTTAAGTAACTGTATAAAAAGATCTTTCTCTTGAGGCAAGGGAATATAAACAAAATATTGTTTTCAAATGATCCAAGATCCTTTTCAGGGTTTCTACAGGTTTCAACTACAGGTTTCAACATGTTAAGGACTTAGGTACGTAGGTAACTTTTATAGTAATATTATTTGTCATATTTTTTAGACAGACAGATAATACACGAGACAGATAATCTGTGGAAAAAATCAGGTTCCTCAGGCTCATCCTAGTGCTCCTAATGCCATTTGTAAGAATCCACCATGTCTGAACGTAAAACAACCAATCAGAGCCAAGGAAGATAGTTAATGGGTGGTTGATAGAACTTCAAATGATGATCATATGATTTTTTCACATATGATCTATCTGAAAGTTTCAGCAAATATGGCAAAAAGTTATTCTTATAAAAGTTACCTTCTGCAGCTTTAAAAAAAAATACTGAATGCAATTTAAGACCTATTTTACATCCATACTGGCAAAAATAAAAAATACTAAGGATATAAAGGAAAATCAGTAACATGTTTTTGTTTTGTAGTTGTTACAGCATGATCAAAAGAAATTATTCCAAAAAACACATTCAAAAGTGAGACTGAAAAATGCTACTTTATACAAGTAACATTAACTTCCGAATCATATTGAAGACATTTTAAGGCCTAAAAAAGTTAGATTTTACGGCTTTCATGGGAACTCTGACATCAACACAAAAATGGCAGGTCCAAAATAAATAACCATTAAGGTCAAACATAGTGGTCAAAACTTAATGCATTTTATATAGCAGAAATACACAATAACAGACATTACTTTTTTTATTTGAAAAAAACATCTTCTGCTGTGCAAGCTTTCAGCTCGGCCCATAAATGCTCCTGTTGTGGAGTACACTTCATGTCGTCCTTTCAATCAGTCTCAGATTGATAATGGCTTTATGTTTCCCTTGGCTTTATCATACAATAATGTGCTTCAGTGATTATTTGGCAAC